CCTCGTTTGCTCTTCTGCATTCGGCTTTAACATTAGAAAAGTAATCTAAAATGCTTTCATAGTCCTCTTTTTTACTCTCTCTTAATTTCTTAAGTCTCATTCTTCTCTGGGCTTCTGAATTATAATATCTAATTAGTACATTTTTCATTGTTTGCCAAGTACATCCACTTCTGCCTCTTTATTTTCAAACACTGTCTGTGCCTAAACTATGACTTAATTGAAATATTGGTTAAACTTTGATTTTTAATTTGTAATTTTAACTCTGGCAATGATTTTAAATAAATTATTGTATGAGTCTAATTTATATATGAAAATAATTGTGAAATTACATAATTGGAGTATGGAAAATAGTGAAATATTTAGTAATTTAAATAAAAAATAATAACTTTATTTATAATAAAATAAGTACTCAGAATTTTTCTTACATTTGTAAATTTAAAGTTTTATATACATTTTTTAAATAAAAGATTATTAGGCATAATCAAATATTAAATTTTCAACTTTGGGCAAAAAATAATAAACCTAAAATATGTATACCTAATTAAAAAATTGTATGGAGTAGCTACTGAATATTAATTTTCCATTTAATAAAAATAATTTTATTTATGATTGTGTTTATATTTCATTGTAAATGTTAAGAAAATATCATGCAACTATTTTGATAAGTTTATTAATATTTGATTAAGCATGCGTGGATTGGAATAAACATAATTTTAATTTTACTCTGTAATAATACATGAAAATTTGCAGAAATTATAATTATTATGACTTATTAAGTAAGTCGTCATCCATAAATTCTTTTAACATTATTTTTTCTATTGTAAATTAAGTTTTTAGTTACTTTTCATACATAATAATCTAATTAAAAATTTGTTGTTTTTAATTTTATTTTTAGTTTTAATACCTGCTGTTGTAAGTATCTGCACTTTTAAGTATGCACTTGTAATTAAGATTCTTTGATATCATAATATTAATATTCTAATTATACGAAAATTAAGAAACAAAAATGATTTAATCATGATTTTGCTATTGTCATGACTATATCATGAAAAAGAGTCACATATCAAATAAATGCACAGTTCTCAAAAAAATTTGAGTGAGTTTAATAAAATAAATTTTGCTTTTTAGCATTACCATTTGTATCCCATGTAAGTTAATTTAATTTGTTTTAAATTTAATTTCAGTTACAAATATGATGTCTATTGGTTTTATATACATGATTCTAAGTATATAACATTAGTAAGCTTTAATTTCTTCTATCAAGTATTAGAATATTGTGAGATCAATATTAGAATGAATTGTTATATTGAAATAACAGTATTGTAGTTAAATCTCTTGCGTGTTAATTATTCTTATAGTAATACTTTTACTTTAAAAAATTAAAACTATTGATAATTGTTAAATTTTGAACTTAAAATAAGGTAATGTTTTAGAGTAATACATGTAGTTATTAGAATACTTATCCGATTAAGTTCAATAGAAGGAGTTGTAAGAAAAAATTAGCTTAAAATTTAAGGTAGGAGTAATTGTTGTTTTAAAAACAATGTGCAAGTACTTAAAACAACTATAATAAAATTATTATTTTTATACATATTATTTCTACACAGTTACTTCAATGGCTTGTTTAAAGATTTGAGCTATCAGTCAACAAATATTTTCATTATTTTTTGATTATAACTGAGAATCGTTAATATATTACTACAGTAGAACCTTTATGAGGCATAATAATTTCTGTTCCCTCGAATCTTATTTACTCAAAAATAAAAAAAAAAGTATTGATAATACAAAGAAATTATTTGAAGTTTTATAATAAACTATTATTATAGTTATAAACTATCAATAAACAAATTGTTTTATATTATGTAATTTCATAAAATTAAAAAAAAAAATGATTTTGAGATAGGCAAAACGCTATAAACTTTCAAGTATAGTCAATACAAATTCTATCTCATTTGTATTAACTTCAATTTTATGAAATTTCTACATATATTTTTCATTAATAGAACACATAGACAATTTTATAGAGACATATCATTAATTTTGTTAGAAATGGAATCTATTTTGTTTCCGTCAGCCTCAATTAGGCTCATAGCGTCATAGAGACTAATTTTACAACTAGACCTATTGTGATAATGTTAATATGTATGTATATATATTACATTATAAAGATACAATTTTTGTTTTTGATTGGTGGGTGTAATAAAAGTTTTTCTAAACAAAACCCTAAGTATACCACTGTTATTTGCAAGGCTAGGAGCATGTATCCTACTTCACCTACCCTTGTGTTGTTGCGGCATTGATTGCAATGTATTTTATTTTATGAGGAAATAAGTAATTTTTTTTGATCTGCATGATTTTTTTTCATTGGGGATTGTTGAAATGTCTGTAGGAGAATTATCTTATATACTTGAATTTCTATGGCATTACGCATATTCTGTCATGAAATAAAGTATAATGTATAATTCACATACTGGTGTTTCACAATTCCAAAGTGAAAAAAATTTTAAGTTGAGCACACGAAAAAAAGGTTTTTACAAAATAATAGTAAAAAATAATTGAAGTACTGGTTGTAACATATAAGTTCAATTTTAATAATTTAATACAAAAGAGTCTATTTTTGGTAAGATACATGATAAATTTTATTATATTTTGTTATTATAGAGAATTGAAGGAATTTGTATTTTTACTCTCTTTAGAAAATATAAATAGATTATAAGTTTTAAATTATTATTTAGTTTAGTTTTAACTTCAGTAACAAAAAAAACTCATAAAGTTTTGTAATTAATGATTTCTTATCCATTTATATCCATATTTATATCCTTATTATTTATTATGAGTGATGATTTATGTAAAATACTAGTAATTGATGATAAATAAAGTATTTATGTAAAATATTAATAATTGATGAGAAATAAAGTAAAATATATGTTGTAAATAAAAAAAGTTTTACTCCTAATTTGATCTTATTAATAAGTCATTAATAATTTTTTTGTTTTATAGATATTTTTTATATTTTAATAACACCTGTACAGTTCTTTAGCAAATATTAGTAGCTAAAAAACATGTATAATATAATTTTATCTATAACCTGGTCGATTTTCTTATTTTTACGATAATTAAAAGTATTATAGAAAAAAAATCGTTTTTTTACTGAAACAAATAATCTTAAACTTTTAAATGTATTTTTCTGGTACACTCAATATAATTATTTGTTCAACTAAAACTTATTTTATAGTTCAAATATGATATATATTTTTTTTAACTATGAAAACTTAATCATTAATTTCTGGGTATGGAAAGCAGGTCAAGAATGTGTTATAAAAAAATTTTTTTTTTATTATTAGTGATAAATACAAAAAATATACTTTAAGCANTTTTTATTATTAGTGATAAATACAAAAAATATACTTTAAGCATAGTCTAAGAGAGCAATAATTATTTATAAAATAATAATTATATCAAAAGTTTTAAACGTTGTTAATTTGGTTTGAGTTGTCTGTATGAATTTTGTACACAAGAGGTAAACTATTCTAGTTTTTCAAACAAACAAAAAAAAAAAAATTTATGGCAATTTTAAGTAAAAAAATTGAAAAAATATCGAAAATTAGCGATTTTTAAATTTGTAATTTTTTGGTGGATTTTCCCCGTTTACGGAAAACGAGAGAATTTTTTTCAAAATTTTAGGGTAATGTCTTCGACTAGATACGATTTGTAATCTTTTGACATAATCGGTCCAGTGACAGCTAAGAAAATATAGTGACAAACACAAAAAAAAAAAAAAATAAATAAAAACATCATGGTAAAATTAATATACTTCCTCAGCTTCGCATCGAAGTTAAAATTGGTTGTTATGACTAAATAAAAATATTCACTATACCAGTATAATAACTGCATGGATTACTTTATTTATTAAATTTATAATTTGATATAAAAGTAATTTTGTTAACTAATCATAAGAGGAAAACTCGAATAAATTATTATCGTTTGCCAAAAATTTAAAAATAAAAACTGGATTGTTTTGGATCTAAAATTTTTTATATTTAAAATATTCGCAATGTAGTATATTATAAACAATTTATAATTTGTTTTTTTTTTTACACTAGCGTTTGCTAATATTATAAATATTTCTATGTAGTTGATTAAATTTTCTTTAGAAGTGTTGTTTTTTTTTAGTTTAATTGTATTATTGTTTATACTTTAATATTTTTGTATAAAAAATTATATTTAATTGATTCAGAATTAAGCGTATTTTATTTTTTTGTGGTACAGCATTAATAACTAAAAATTGTATAACTCTGAAAGCATTATCAAAATTTATATTAAACATCTTATGATCAATTTGCGTAATATTTTGAAAACTAGTACATTTTAGTACTAAGCATCACTAATATAAGAAAGTTATTATCAAATAAATTAAATCAACACTTTGGTAGTTACCATGTAGTAGGTATTTTATATTAGAAATTTGAAAAAAAAATTTATTTTTACACGAATACAAATTTTATAAATATTTTTTTTCAATTTGTTTCTTTCTTATTTTAAAAACTATCAATTTGGGTATCTTAAATAGAAAAATATGACTGGATATTATATTTAAATTTTTTATATTTTAATATTGTGTTTTCATCAAAAATAATTAACAACTAATAATTTATTGATTTTATTGTATTTATACTTGTACATTAACCAGCCTATTTAATTGAAAATGGGAACCTATGATTTGCATGTTATGAGGGATATTAGATTAACTCGGGTGAATACAATTTTTAGGATCAAATAGATGACTGCCAAAGAATTTAAATATAATAAGTACAATGCTTTAATTCTGAATATATTTTTTTTAAGATTGAATTTTAGACTAACAATTTTAAACCTATAATAATTTAAAATACAAAAATTAGTTTTTTCTGTGAAAACAAAAATTCTTCAACCATACATTTTCTAGTATTGTGGAGATATTTTTAAAAATTATTTGAATAGAAAGAGATGTTCAATTTGAATTCACTACTTAAAGTTTTTGACAAAACACTGTGTTATATTATCTTATATCAATTCATTTATATTAAAGTTGGGCTTGCAATGTGGAATTTGAAAGCTATTAAACTGTATAATATCCTTAATATTTAAAGTTTCTGAAGAATATTCCAAAGTAACTCTAATTAATTGTTCAGATTATATTAAAACCTGAAACAATTTAAAATAGTTAGTTGTATTTAATTGTTATTGATTATCTTAAAACAAAACAATGTATTCTTTTTTTTTTGTAATAATGCATTCTTCAACAACTCGGGAAAACTAGCCTTAAACATTAACCGTAATTTAATGTCTAGAAAGAGATACATAATGTTCAAAACTAAGTTAGAAATATTATTACAATAACTGATAAAAGAACTTTTGCTTTTTAGAGTTCAAAACGATAAATGGTTTATGTTGAAAAAATAACCTTTAATTTTGAATAAACATTAATATTTGAGAAATGTTTTTATTTAATTAAATCATTTAATAATATACAACAACTTTTAAAGTTTTAACTATAATATGATCTGATTGTTATAAAATAAAATGTCTTTATCAATTCAATGAAACTTAAGAAGAAAGAAGATGATTTATTTGTATCTATTAAATATTGTCTTCAACAGCGGTGAATCCAAAAATGTAAATTTATTATTTGGCAATTAGATGTATTAATTTTTATATATGAAAATTTGACCTGTAGTTAAAAAATAAATGATTATATCAAATAAATATAAATTTATTTTGTAGTTAATTCTACTTACCCGTTATATAACTTTAGTACAATTTTATCATCTAAATAAGGTTAAATTATTATTTAATAATTGTTACGACGTAAAAATAAAACATTTACTAAAATGTTGCATTAAAACACTGTAACTACACGATAGTTAAACAACTTAATAATGGATAAAAATATTTAACTATATGGGATAGTAGAATTAGCGTTAAACCCGATGTGTTTTAAAAGGTTATGTTAAAACTTAACATAATATCAATCAACATTAGTAAAAATTATTTTTGTTGGTCATATCACACGATAACATTATCGTATTATGGAATTGTATCGACTCTCTACACTATGGTGAAGAGAGGCTAGGAAATTAACTTATCAGTATTAAAGCTTGCTATACAAATAAATGGACTTTGCTATTAATAATACAGTTAAGACCATAGAGTAATACTATGAATAAGACCCGATTTGAATCTATTATTATTATCTCTTAATTAGTGTGTCGTAAATTATTATTGCTATCTTACTTGTCATATCTTGGTCAATAACAATTAGTGTATATTACACTATAGAAAAATAGTGACTTCTGTATTGAAAACATTAAAACAACAATGGAAATTTAGTCCAAAATCATTTAACTTTAACAAGCTGTAACAGACAAACGGTTTATCGGAGAAAAAAATTGTAAGAACAAAGCTGTTTGTATTTTTATGTTCAATCATAATGACAAATTCAAAATAGGGGTTCCCATATAAGAAAATGCAAATTAATGTTTTTTAACCTTGAAGGGATCAAAAAAATTATGTTTTTACTACATATTATTGTAGAGTTTTTTGAATCAAAAAATATTTTCCTTACCAAAAATTAAAAATTTTCAATAGTTACCGAGAAAATGAGTGTCTTATCCTTAATGAATCACCCTGTATAGCTATTGTTTATTTATGACTTAATATCTTTAAAATTCTAAAAATAAAATGATATTTTCTTCTCAGAGATTATGTGATATCTTACGTGCTATGATTTTTAAAAAACAATTTGGTTTTACCTACCTCCTTCATTCTAAAAAATGGCAACTTATGTTTTATGGAAACATATGCACGTAAAAAAAAAAATTACACGTTTATAACAACTTTTGTATCAGTACTATAAATTATTTTAAAAATATTTTAAATTTAAAAAATGTTAATTAGAATTTTTATACCTTATATTTATAATATAATACCGCACTACTCCTCCAGTAGTGCGGTTCATAAATGACAAGGTATAAAAATAAATAGATCACGAAATTCCAAAATTCTGATTTAATAATTGTTAACGACTGGTTTTTCGTTAGTGAGATCATTATTTATTCTAATTTTAATCTAGTTAAACATATAATTATTTTTTTATAATATTATACAATTTCAAGGGAGAGAGGGAATAAAACAAAACTTTTGTTTGAAAATTATAGAACGTAGGATATTATTAATTTCTGAAAAAAGAAATATATGAAAAGAAATTTCGTATTTCATAGTTCAATAGTCACTCTATATATTTATATATTATAAGGAATAAATAATTCAATTTTAATGTTTACTTATTAATGTTTGTTCAATAAGAAGCTTTTATAAAGACAATTATTGTTGGTAAGACATTTGTTCGAAGAAAATTGTGGAAGTATAGTATCAAAAAAAAGGCAAAATATAAAAATGGTTTGTACATTGTAATGTTATAATTAGTTATTCTGATTGTAATAATACTTTTATTATATTACAGAATTATCCAGTCTTGTTGAGATTATATTTGTTTTTTTTCACAGGTAATTTTTTTTTTATTATAGAAAATGATACAAGTTATTTAAAATATACAATATATACAAGTGATTTTGAAAAAAAACATTAACTTTTGGAGAGTCACCTAGTGACGGGATTTTAACTTACTTAGTAATTTAGTATATTAAAGTGCTATTATAACATAATTACTTCGCGATAATAAAAATTCTTATCAAAATAAACGAATAAATATTATAAGTTTTTTTTTTATGGAGCTGAAAGAATAACATATTTTATTAATAATAGACATACGGTTTGAGAGTCTGTAACATATTTGAAAGAAAATGTTGCTTTTAAAATGAAAGTATTAAAAATGTATAATTTAGTTATAACTTATCTTCTTTTTCATCACCTTAATCGCAACTACTAGGGGTCGGCAACTTTTATCCTAAAATTCCATTTAACAGGATCACCCACATCATTTACGCTCATATCAGCCGTCTCCATATTGCATTCAATTAAATCCTTCCATCTATTTTTTTGTCTTTCTCTACCTCTTCTTTCTTCAGCATTAATATTTATAACNTTCCATCTATTTTTTTGTCTTTCTCTACCTCTTCTTTCTTCAGCATTAATGTTCTTACAGCTTCCGATTCCTATCTTCTCATAACATAACCAAACCATTTAAGTCTATTTTCTTTCATCTTATCCGCGATTGATGCTACACCTATACTCTCTCTTAAATGCTCGTTCCTTGTCCTATCTTCTCTAGTCACATCCTTCTTAAATGTTCGTTTTTTATCCTATCTAATTTTGATATAACCAAATATTTAATTTCAAATTACATTTATTATTATTGAATTTTTCTTTTACGAAGAAAAAATGTACGTTCTGATATGATTTTAATGGTATGTGATATTCGTAATACAGAATACAAAAATTTAGTGAACAAGCGTTATAGGAGATAATGTCTATTCACTTAAAATACGGTTGAATATTTTAGTTTTGTAACATACAGATTATTCGTCCTTCGCCAACATTAGCATTTCAATACCACACTAGTACCTGATCAGCACAAACGTCCCTACGACCTGCTAAGGGTATGCGGCACGCTCGAGTGTAAACAAAACCGATGATATTCTTCTTCATTAAATAAATATATAACGACAGTCAGTCGACATTTTACCAGGCTCGCAGCTACTCATTTTTTTTTATTACAGATTATATTTTTCATTACTACAATTAATTCCGACAATATTATCTTCTACTATTAATTTAATTATTATTATTTATTTTATTACAATCGGATTTTTGTACGCTCGCCGTTGTCGTTCACCTAACTTGGATACCATAAGATCTCTAGAGATCCAGTCAGGTTATATTTAAATATACTATTAAATAGAAATATATACTTGTTATCGTTGTTAGTTGAGAGTCTATTTATTGGTCACGAAACCGCTAACTGCCCTTCTAGTGGGATATAAATAATATAAGGCCAGCGTTGCCCCGTTAAGGTTCAACTTAGCCAACTGTTAGGTTCCTAGCAGGAAAGCACGTTGCAGTCTGGTGGAGGCGCCATGTTCTGTTCTTAACAGAATAGATCTGCCCCTAATTGTGCCGATTTAATAGATATACTTGACCAACAACGATCAAAAAAAAATTTTTTTTATTGCTTTAATTTAGTACCAATTGCCGCTTGACGAATACAATTATTTAATTTTGCGAAATGTATTACTAAAAACATTAATATAAATTATTTTCTATTTTACGACAACATTTCACAATTATATCTATACTATATTAACTTATCTTAAGAAATTGTAACGTGACAAAATGTGAATTTTATGATATAGATAGATTACTGTTTTGCTTTGCTAATGGGCGCGCGTACGTTATATCAGGCCGTGTAATCAGAAAACTGTACTGTTGCTGTCAAGGTGAACGCTATACACACAATATTCTTTATCAGTTTAATAATCGTTCCCTATATGACACATACACTGGCCACTACTGTCCNTGATAATTATGGGTTTTGTATTTTATTTTAATAGAAGTTGATGTTGCTTTTGCAATTATCCATCAATTTTTTAAAATTAAACACTATCTACAGATTTGCATCGAAGCGTTTCTTATGATAGTGATTTTAATCACTGTCAGATTAAATCTATACTGGACTCTACTATGCAATGTCTCCACTATGCCGCGACCCCACTGTGCTACCGTTTTTTTTGTTATTTTTCGCGTGTTTAATAATGTATTAATTCAGCAAGGCGTCGGCCATTTCCGGGGCCGAGATCCCCATCTTAGGATGAGTCCCATCCGGGACTGGG